ATGTTACTACATGCAAACACAGGAAATAAGTTATTGCAGACATACGTGGAAAGGATGTTACTTCATGCAAACACAGGAAATATGTTATTGGAGACATACGTGGGAAGGATGTTACTTCATGCAAACACAGGAAATATGTTATTGAAGACATACATTGGAAGGATCTTACTTCATGCAAACACAGGAAATATGTTGTTGGAGACATACGTGGGAAGGATGTTACTTCATGCAAACACAGGAAATATGTTATTGCAGACATACGATGGAAGGATGTTACTTCATGCAAACACAGGAAATATGTTATTGGAGACATACATGGGAAGGATGATACTTCATGCAAACACAGGAAATATGTTATTGGAGACATACATGGGAAGGATGTTACTTCATGCAAACACAGGAAATATGTTATTGGAGACATACATGGGAAGGATGTTACTTCATGCAAACACAGGAAATATGTTATTTCATGAAACACATGGAGACATACATGGGAAGGATGTTACTTCATGCAAACACAGGAAATATGTTATTGGAGACATACATGGGAAGGATGTTACTTCATGCAAACACAGGAAATATGTTATTGGAGACATACATGGGAAGGATGTTACTTCATGCAAACACAGGAAATATGTTATTGAAGACATACATGGGAAGCATGTTACTTCATGCAAACACAGGAAATATGTTATTGCAGACATACATGGGAAGGATGTTACTTCATGCAAACACAGGAATTATGTTATTGCAGACATACATGGGAAGGATGTTACTTCATGCAAACACAGGAAATATGTTATTGCAGACATACGTGGAAAGGATGTTACTTCATGCAAACACAGGAAATATGTTATTGCAGACATACATGGGAAGGATGTTACTTCATGCAAACACAGGAAATATGTTACTGCAGACAAACACAGGAGATATATTACTGCAGACAAACACAGGAGATATATTACTGCAGACAAAGACAGGAAATATGTTACTGCAGACGAACACAGGAAATATGTTTCTGTAGACAAACACAGGAAATATATTACTGCAGACAAACACAGGAATTATAGTACTGCAGACAAACACAGGAAATATGTTACTGCAGACAAACACAGGAATTATATTACTGCAGACAAACACTCAAATATATTACTGCAGACAAACACAGGAAATATGTTACTGAAGACAAACACAGGAATGATATTACTGCAGACAAAAACAGGAAATTTATTACTGCAGACATACCTGAGAAGTACGTAACTGCATGCAAACAGAAAAAGCATACGAACGGTGAGGTCTCTTACTGTCACAATTGTCACGGTACAGAAGCTAATTGGGTGTTCTTGATTGCACAGAAGTAGTCCGAAAGCAATTTGTTACACGTTGCGTTATTAGATTTGTTCAGTATTAGAACTTTCAATTATTTCCCTTCACGTATAAAATTCCCGTTAACAATTTCATATAACTACAGTTGTCTCTTAAATCAAACAGCGTTTTCTAAACACGGTATCAAAACATTTGGTAATAACAAGCGGCAAGATTATATGAACAATTTTTAAAAATGGTTGTAACAAAGGCAGAAATTCCAAATGTAGTCGTAACTATGAAGTTAATTGCAACGATATTGATTTCGTGGATATTAAACATTCCTATGTTGCCCGTGTAATCCTGGTGGAAATCGTAACATTTCGTCAGATTATATAAAGGATCTATAGTCCGTTTGGCTCAAAAGCGGACCGATGAATTGCAATCTAACTCGAAAACTAATAAATATAAAATACTCAATGAAACACTGATCATAATCAAAACATCATACCTACTCTGTGAGGTTTTTGCAGAATTTTTGTCCTAAAAATAAATAAAGTTGTTTAACAATCTATCATTAAAATATTGACACGGTTCACTATTTGTTACGAGGGAGGAGTGCAGAGAAAGGGACAGCCAGGTGTTCGAGAACGGATGGAGACGGCACAGCACAGGTTATTGAATAAATAACTTTGTCCGTGAACGTGCTTCTCGAACACCTGGCTGTCCCTTTCTCTGCACTCCTCCCTCGTAACAAACAGTGAACTGTGTGAATATTTTAATGATAGTTTGTTAAACAACTTTTTTACTCACAGAGTGGGTATGATGTTTTGATTATGATCAGAGTATGTTATGTTTATTAGTTTTCGAGTTAGATTGCAATTCATCGGTCCGCTTTTGAGCCAAACGGACTGTAATTGAGCTTAAAGCCATTCTCGTATGTGGCATAACCTGTTAATGAGTGCCGGACTGACCCAGTACGTACATCCTATACTGAAACAAAATTGGAAAATTATTAACGAGATATGAACTTACGGATTATCTGTCTGAGTGATTTTTTAAAGTGGGCAGCCTAGTGGTTAGAGCGTAGGTCGTCACGCCCAAAACCCGAGTTCGATTCCTCCCGTGGGTCCAATGTGTGAAGCCCATTTCAGGCGTCACCCGCCGTGATGTTCGTAGAAAGGACGTAACAGCATGCTCACTCACTCATTCACTGGTTTGTACGTTCCAAGAATAAGTTCAGATATTCAGTTGCGAGTTGCGAGCGGGTTATTGTTATGTGATAGAGCCTCAGTGGTCATATTTCTGGGCAAATATAGAAAAAGGGTTTTCCTGAACAGCTGACATTAGCTCAATTGCTTGTTTGATTAACATCACCCCAATACATTAACAATAGATGACGTCATCCATAATTATTTGTGTTCATGTGACGTTGATATTGAAGTCATCATAAAAAATGGAACTATTAAATCAGCATTATACTATCTGCGAATGACTTGTAAAACATATGTATGCTTTTGCTTGGTTCGATGAAGGTATAAAACAATCAAAATAATATTTCCAAGTACATTTATTGTTTAACATTTGCGATATGGAAATATGTTATTTTGTCAGTTTTTTATATGAAATATAACAAAGTCGACAGTCGCTAACTTGGTTGACACATGTCATCGTCTCCCAACATCATAGATCGATGCTCATGCTGCTGACCACTGGATTGTCTGGCCCAGACTAGATTATTTACAGCCGCCGTCATATAGATGAAATATTGCTGAGAGTGGCGTTAAACAACAAACAAACACAACTTCTTATGATGTCTTTTAGCGGTATTTAGAAGTTGTTGTAAATGACCAAGATATTTTATAATCTTCGTATGTTCTGAATACAACAAATAACCATATTGTATTATGGAGCCATGAGCCACAGAGAGAACGTTTTATATCCGCGCATTGTTTAATGCTGTTTAACCATTGGAAATGTTCGGTGTATCATAGCACATATATAGAACGTTTTATATCCGCGCATCGTTTAATGCTGTTTAACCATTGGATATTTTCGGTGTATCGTAGCACATATAGAGAACGTTTTATATCCGCGCATTGTTTAATGTAACTGTTTAACCATTGGAAATGTTCGGTGTATCATAGCACACATAGAGAACGTTTTATATCCGCGGATTGTTTAATGCTGTTTAACCATTGGATATGTTCGGTGTATCATAGCACATATAGAGAACGTTTTATATCCGCGCATTGTTTAATGCTGTTTAACCATTGGATATTTTCGGTGTATCATAGCACATATAGAGAACGTTTTATATCCGCGCATTGTTTAATACTGTTTAACCATTGGAAATGTTCGGTGTATCATAGCACATATAGAGAACGTTTTATATCCGCGCATTGTTTAATACTGTTTAACCATTGGATATTTTCGGTGTATCATAGCACATATAGAGAACGTTTTATATCCGCGCATTGTTTAATGCTGTTTAACCATTGGATATGTTCGGTGTATCATAGCACATATAGAGAACGTTTTATATCCGCGCATTGTATAATGCTGTTTAACCATTGGAAATGTTCGGTGTATCATAGCACATATAGAGAACGTTTTATATCCGCGCATTGTATAATGCTGTTTAACCATTGGAAATGTTCGGTGTATCATAGCACATATAGAGAACGTTTTATATCCGCGCATTGTTTAATACTGTTTAACCATTGGAAGTGTTCGGTGTATCATAGCACATATAGAGAACGTTTTATATCCGCGCATTGTTTAATGCTGTTTAACCATTGGATATGTTCGGTGTATCATAGCACATATAGAGAACGTTTTATATCCGCGCATTGTATAATGCTGTTTAACCATTGGAAATGTTCGGTGTATCATAGCACATATAGAGAACGTTTTATATCCGCGCATTGTTTAATGCTGTTTAACCATTGGATATGTTCGGTGTATCATAGCACATATAGAGAACGTTTTATATCCGCGCATCGTTTAATGCTGTTTAACCATTGGAAATGTTCGGTGTATCATAGCACATATAGAGAACGTTTTATATCCGCGCATTGTTTAATGCTGTTTAAGCATTGGAAATGTTCGGTGTATCATAGCACATATACGTACTATAACATGCATTGTATAGCCAGAGAACAACCTTGAACCACTTATTTGTCAAAAGAACTCTGGATAAGCTGGTGCATTGAGAACACGAATTGGAGTTGGTGAACTGGCTCTCAGTCTGCTTTAAGCATTATTTCAAACGTGTCAGAGTATCACTTTAATATGAAATCCCGAAGATATGCAGTTCGTATCGGTGAAGGTCCGGGTTAGAATTGATCTTCAGTAACCCAGATTGTCGTAAGAGGCGACTAACAGGATCGGGTGGTCAGACTCACTGACGTGGTTGACACATGTCATCGTATCCCAATTGCGTACATCGACGCTCACGCTGTTGATCACTGGAGTGTCTGGTCCAGACTCGATTATTTACAGACCGCCGCCATATAGCTGGAATATTGTTGAGTGCGACGTTAAACAACCAACCAACCGACCAACATCAAGGTCAACTGTGATCTGACCCTGTGATCAAAGGTTTTACAGTCATGCCTAAGGAATGCAACATAAAACGCATCAGGGATATACTGCCAATGAGCTCTATGAGCAACTATGAAAAAATCTCATGGTAATGCAAAGATTATATTCTCTTTAATCACTGGTTTAATGTCTCCAAGATACACATGAATGTCACAGTAATGTACATATTATTCATATATTGAATCATCATAATCATTCAGAATTACATCACATGTTATATGAGAATCAAACCTGACAAATATATGGACTGCGGTTCACATGTAGATGTCTGTTAATCGATTTAAATTACATATACACCATCATGTTCGAGAACCAATTAACAGTTTGATTTGATGTAAGTACATTAACTACACACCACATGAGGAATCATCCGCATTAGAGCGTGGCTATCCCTCTGTCCTATCATCAGCTATATTCTAATCTTCTTCGCCATCATCGTTCTGTACCAGCAGTCATCATCATCATCATTATCATCATCATCGTGATGACGGCCATCAGCATTAACAACATCATCATCATCATCATCATCATCATCATCATCATCATCGCCATCATCGCCATAACTGAATCGTAAGTACACTGTAAGTTGAAGTTAATGATTGATTCTAGTCCTGATCGGAGCAACTGATATGGCAGCACGTATCGGCAATAGGCTCTATTAACCCGAAAATACCTGTGGATATAGCTGCAACTGGGGCCTCCACTATTGTCCAAGCAATCAAAAATTAATCTGTTATCATGAAGTGGTGAAAAGACACATTTTAGGCACCTAATTATAGATTAAAAACAAATTTCATGTTCTTTCCAGATGAAGAGCCTAGTCATGTTGAATCAATCTTCTTTCTGTGTGGCTGTCGCAAGGAGCTCAGAACCGTAGGTCTTCGATTCATACCTTCTCCTATTTATTGTGTTTGGAATTCTATAATGAAAATCAGCAAAATTAAACAGGTGAGGGAGCCATAGATCAGGAGAAAGGCTCTGTCCAGAACAAGGGCCATGAACTCCCACTCCTCACACATGGCCCTGTCACTCTTCCTGTCTCCCAGGCTTGCCACCATATCGCTCAGGCTGGCGTTGATCCGACTGAAGTGTTTAAGAAGAAGGCTTGTTTCCGGTGCGTGGACTGTGTCTGCGTCAACGGTGTCTACGGCGCTGACGTTGTTCAGCGGTTTCGGAACGGTTTTCCGTCTTTCAAATCGAAGACCTTGAACAACCTAGAGTGATAGGCACAACATGTGAATATGAATGAGTGTATGAGTGAGGGAATTCAGTTCAACATCCCTTTAAACAGTAGTTGTATGTTATGGCATTTCCATCCTATGTTGGAGGCTCTGCATGGACGTTTGATAACATTTCAATAGAGTGAGTAAGTGAGCTTGGAATTACACCGCTTTAGCAATGTTTCAGCAATGTTACGGCGGGTGACACCAGAAATGGGTCGCACATTGTACCCATGTGGGGAATCGAACCCGGGTCTTCGGCGTGACGAGCCAACGCTTTCAGCTACCTCACCACCACCCACTTCAATAGAATGTCACGCCAAATAAAAAATCATTAGCCAAACAGCGCCGAGGAGTCTAAATTCTCTGGACGAGTGTGGGACATTTCGTCTCGAAAATAGCTATAATCTAGCAAATCCAAATGGAAAGAAATTCCATCCCGTCATATTGTGTGGGATTTCCACCCCGTCATATTTTTTGGGGATGGTTTCACATATCCTATCGCCTTGAGAGCGTCAACGGTATATTTCGGTTGTGTGGGGGCTTTCTTTGACCGATTTAAAAAAAAAATAGAGACGTAAAGAAATGAAGCCGAAATATTTTAGAAATGTAACATCTGATTGGCTTCAGAACCTATGCAATCTTCATTGTTCGTGATGTCAAAAATCGCTGAGGGCCACTCGAGGCGACCGTCTATGCAAGTGTACATAAATCTTTACACAAACAGGTACCATATCGGAGAGAAAGATTTGCGAAGAAATGTTGAAACCCTAAAACATCGTCATAGTAATAGCTACAAATTAAGGGACATTATCAGGGCGAGTTTAGGATTCGAATCCCCCATCAGCCAATTCTGCTTCAAGTATACATACAGGACAAAAATCTGAGAATTGCGCCGGCTCAAGTTACCCAGTGAGGGGACCCTTTAACAAAACGATGTTTCACAAAGCGAAAATAGAGGAAGTAATATAATACTGTTAATCATACGGGGACAGAACATTTACCAGAGCAGGTGCTGTACTCTGGAATGGATTACCTGACAATGTCAGAAAATCGGAAAATATCAACAGTTTCCTATCTTGTCTCAAAACCATCCTCTTCAAACGAGCATTCGTCTTAGCGCACATAACCAGGACTCTGGATATGTAATGCTATACAAATGTCCAATTTGATTTGATTTGATGTCAAATTAGTCCGATGACGTATGAAAACACAGGATTAGATGACTTGAAAACATGGGTTATATCTAACTGTGTTCATTTGTTTCCCTATTATGAGCGCTTGTGAGCGCAAATAAAGAAACATATAGTCTTGATAACATGAATCCATATTTACCATATTAATATAAAATTAATTGAATATGGAATGAAACTGGGTTTTGAACTCACTTCATTTGTGGGGTTCTTCTTCCGCACCTTTTGGGGCAGTCTTACACACAGTAACCGGCCCAATCCGTCGATGACGATAGTTTTGCCGATCTGTGGTACTGGCCAACCCTGGGAACCCTTGAAATGGACGTTCAACACAACGACGGTCATGAGACACGACAATCCCACCAAGACCATGTTCGAAGCGAAGTATACACCTGTGGGTTAACAAGACAGCATCATTGAATCAGATATCATATCAAAACACACATGCATTACAACGAAACAAGATTACCATTGGTGTCTATAAACACAACATCATTTAGATATGAATAAGGTAATTTTTGAAATACGTCGTTTTGATGGAATAAGTTAAAGTATTCGACCAAATTTCCAGCAATTAACAAATGGTGAGCTATTTGTATAGTGAAATAACATAAGAACCATCGAAACTTCGATTCTATTGTGTTGAAAGAAACTGATTTATACGTATTCTATGGTTTTAGAGATATTTTTTATCACCAGTTATCTTATATAACGCACAAGATACAAATTGTGTTGGACCTGTATGTGAAGTAAGGAATACTAGATACACCAAGAGTGCCATGACGAAACGACAAGTATGGACACAAATGCGCATAAAAAAACAATATCTATGTGTGTAAATGTAATACATATGAATCTTGCTCGTCCCGTGACTTAAGTTCTACATATCATCAATTTCTGATATGCTATACTGTCAAATATACATTGTATGTCTATTCCTTAATCATCTCTTATCCCGTATATATGTAAAGGTCTTCTCTGTGCACAAAGAATTACGGTACACAAAATGCCTTCAATGCAGAATATCATATATTATAATATATATTGGGATGTTTTCATGACAAACCATCTCATGCTAAATAATATTGTCTGTGCTATTAACCAATAGTTTCAATCAGGTAATTCAGGAAATACCAGGATATTGACAGTCTGGGGACACATACCAAGGCTTCATGGAAATAATTACGATGTCCGAATCAATGGGGCATTTCTATACATGGAAACAAACTCTTCCTCTTCCCAGTAATCCTGCACTGAACGTTGGGCAGTTGGGATTATTATTCAGTGATGATATAAATATGATCCTATGTCTGTTGACATCCATATTGTATATTTGACGGGACATTGCATGTGAATCAGAGGTCTGATTGCCTTCCAAATAATTTCCTCCTGTCATGACAGATGGACAGATGATGCCTTATGCTCTGCTATGGTACGGGATATGTAGTCAATTAATCTGTAAATTATGTAAATTTGTTATGTTTTGATATCTTTATGCTTGTGCCTGTTGTGCGTGTCGTATAACTGCGCTATATTATCCGACATAAAGCAGGAAATTCCTTTTCAGTGGTATGGGCCTCATGTGAACTAAATATGGAACTAAAATTTGCATTGATATCAATAGAACATATTTTAGTCCGAAAGAATTTTCTTTCACCGGAAGGAGGCAAAATATTTTTATTATAAAGGAATCTCTTGTTAATTCTGGAGCCAGTTTCAATGATTCATGCTCACCGATCCTATGTTTGATTCTAATGTCCCTTCCAAATAATGTTTGAATTTGTTAAAATTACAATAGGTTTTAGGTTTAGAAAGGATACAACCAAATTTGGTCAATATGTTCCAGAATATATGCTACACATATGAGAGGCAGCAAAACTGACGGTGATTTTTGTATTTTTAATGTATCTATTTAATCCGGAAGAGTGAGTAAGTGAGTTTAGTTTTACGCCGCATTTAGCAATATTCCAGCAATATCACGGCAGGGGACACCGGAAATTGGCTTCACACATTGCACATATGTGGGGAATCGAACTCGGGTCTTCGGCATGACGAGCCAACGCATTAACCACTAGGCTACCCCGCCGCCCCTTATTCAAGAAGAGGTAAGTGGGAACATAACACAAAAAAATAATTACATATGCGGCATGGGATTTGAAATTTGCCTGGCACTTTCATAACGTTTCTGTTTTACATGAAATAGTACATCTGTATTGCCTTCCATAAAGTAATACATACACTCTGGAATATAGATATTTAAGCTATGTTATTTTCGCATGGTATTTTGCATATATTTAGATTGCATATTGCCATTTTGAGAATACTATGTTTAGTCTCCAAAATGAAATATGAAATCAATATTTATTAATAATTTATAAACCTTAACGGCAATACAAATGGTTGTTTAATGTGTGAACATAAACCCAATACCATCCTGAATATTGAACACCGAACATTGTGGAAATATAATAAATAAACAAAAGGTCTTATGTGGCTATGGGGGTATTTGCAGAAAGGTTCCTGTGGCTATGGGGGTATTTGCATTGAGTGTGACTAACATTTCTTTGCCTTTTCACTTCACATCCTTTAAAGTTATGCGCCAACAGAGTTATACCGTTAATCAATGTGATATTTCTATTCAACAAAATCATTTCTATACAAAGCAGGTTCTAGGATTGGATGTTTGACCTGGCTTATTGTATGTCACACTGACTCGAGGGCATAGATTCCATCCCCCAAAAGATGTTTATGTGACCCAGTGTATACCATATTATGTGTGTCAGCGTTGTTGTGTAATTTCGTTTAACTAGACAATTTGCATAATGATGTCTCAAAATCCTTAGTACCGAAATTAAACCATACATAGCAGTATTGGTTCAAAATGTAGATTCAATGAAAATTGGTTCATCTCTGTAGAGTGATGATTAGTATAATCAAATTTAATTTCACACGTGTAAACTGTTCACATGTTCAAGATCATTGCCCACACCAGATCGTGAGTATGTTAATAGAACTAACATATCATGGGAACATGTTCTATCAAGACGCCAAAGAATGAGTACTCACTGATAAAAGGTAATGTCTCCGAGTTGGGTGGCATCATCTCCAAGACAATAAGTTGAAACACAGCCAGCGACAACAGAACCGTCACCTCCAAGTTGACCTTTTCCCCTGCATCTGGTGGCAGCATGAAACCAAGGATGGCCACCATCGAGATGAGGATACATGGGAAAAATAGATTTAGAATAAAGAACAGAGGTTTCCTTCTCAGCTTCAGATCGAATACCAACGAAGGATAGGGAATGCCTTCAAAATAGGACACATTACGTTCAACGTTCATGCTGACCACGTTCCATTCCACGTGACCTTCATACGACGACAAGTCAGCATCGTCCCTGATATTTGTGAAGTTGACGTCAAGAGCACTGTGGGCCCACATCCCAAATTTGAGAGGACATGATTGTTTGTCAAAAGGGAAGTAGGTTGTGTCTATGGTGCAAAGGCTTGTGAGGACTATGGGTATCTGGTGACGGGTATCCCCCTCGCTCGTCACGCTGACACGGTATTCCTTTGCGGCCTTCATTCCTTCATCTGCGCTGCTTTAAACAGGATTATTAAATGTATAGTTACAGCAAGCAATATTATAAATAAATTGTGTTTCTTCCAAGTTATGAAAAAGTGATTTAACCCAAGGACAAATTAATCAATAAGTCGATTGTTGATCGAAATATGAAACATGTTATACTTAAACTTTCATCACTGCGGGAAAGACTGAAATATGGTCTCGATGTATATGTTACTCCAAATGAGAAGCTTTATGACAATTCTTTTGAATGCTAGTGTAACAAAATCACATACTTGTCATATAACGTGATGTCAGGAATCCACATGAACGATGCCGGAAGAACAAGGTTGTCAACACCTGTTGCAGTTTTGTTCCATGTCAATCGACAGTCGTTCCAAAACTATAATATATAAATATGCAAGTATGGAAAACAATAATAATTATTATCATCCGACACACTGGGAGGTCTTATTATCTCTCATAAAAATGAGAAATATAGGTCAACGCGCTCTTTGAGGATGGTATGTAGTCGGTATGAGCTGAAAGCGTTGATGTCCTCATCAAGTTCGCTGCGCAAAGTCGCAAAACTTGGACAGGCAAGTAACCTCCGATTGTGGGCGGGAATCTAGTTTATATACGATTATATTTCTCACCATATCAATGCCCATTGGTAGCATTAAAGCTTTCCTTTCAAACAAACAGGCATTAAATCCAACTTAATGTGAAGGTCACTAACAATTAACCAACGCCAAAGATCTTTCTGAGGTGGAGGTGGCTCACATGGTCCAGTATGTTTTCAAATCCCTAAGTGCCATCAGTGGTGTCAAAGTGCAATAAATACCACTAATTGAATCAACTGGTTTGACTGTCACCACTTGAAATAATTTTCGTTGAAGCATGCTCTCTTAGTAGATGCAGTGACACGTTTTGGGCAGCAAACAATCGGGCGACTGTGAGAGTGTATAAAAATGCCATTAGACCTGGTATATAAACAGACTATCTGTGCCTTCAGCAAGACAAGGGCACCTCGACATGTGTGGCTACGAATGTTTTGTACATAACCTTTCTATAGCACCACGTCCTTTATAATTGACAGTTCCAGATGAGGGTGGTGCATATTGGTGCATTTCATGGAAAATCCATACTCCTGAGTAGGACACTAGTTTTATTCATTACTGAAATCATTTAGGAAATACGATGTCATTTTTATAATGAACATCATGAACAATGCATGAAATCTGAAACCAGTCATCGAAATAAAGGCTTTAACTTATCACAGTGACGGGGAGAATATATTAATAAATAAGCAAATGGTTTTAGTCCCCTGAGGAGTGAATCATCATGAGCTGCATATTACTAATAAAGTATTATAATTCAAAATGCATGAACATCCCCGGTGGTTGTTTGGTAGGGTCGGGGTCTCAGTAATGCCCCACTGTCCCGTAGTCGTAATATAGGACCGCCATTGGTTAGCTAAGTGCTAAATGGTAAGGTTCAAGACATTTTTCAACATTTTTATCTACAACTTTTGAAGGTGTCTGTAGCTCATATTTTGCTTACATTTCTTAAAATGATGTGAGAAAGAAATGTGTTAAACAAGGTCGGGGCCACTGACTTTAACCGACGTGTGAATAAAAATTTAATTAATTTCAAACATTTTCAGAAAAATTGAAATGATGAACTATCCTTTACCCTAAAAGTACACTGAATCATAAAAACATGGTTTGTTTAGAATGACCAACCTTAATTCTAGGTAAGGAAGTTGACTGTAAAATTATGAAGTATCGCATCACGCACAAGAAACTATTCTTAATAAAATCATTTTCCTAACTTTAAGTCACTGAGTGAGCAATTGGAATATTTCGCCAAAAATCTGCAACAATCTCTTAACTGGTGAACGGGGAGGCTTACATGTACACGGCCGATCCTCTATATCGTGTTGCATGGTATACATAATTATCAGTTGAACAACTGAACAAACATTATTGATGTTTATCAACAGATGTAGGCAACATCTGAAATACATAATTTGTCTTTCAGCACCAGTGTTACTACTACCGTAATTGATATGTTACAATTATCGATTTCTGACATTCTGAATATGGTTCGTACTTCACTGTCCATGTACGTACCGCACGTAACCACACATTTGTTTGCAGGAACTGTTTAGGCTCGTTCTGGAAAGAGGAAAATATACATGAGAGGAAACGAATGTGAGTGCTCATAAAACAGAAAACAACGAGGACAGATATGTAAAACAAACAAACCTCCGACCATTGTGTGCTTATCGCTTGTGTATTTAAACATGTGCCTTTAATGCCCATCAGCATCTGATAACGTCGCCTACAGGGCATCACTGCAAGCACTGTATCAAGAAACAGATTGAACAATCTGGAATATTTACTGATGGCATTTTGAAAAAGAGCATTGCCTTGCGTTGCCAAGCACATACATGTATTGTGCACATAACAAACTGTAGCTAGACTGAATATTTTTATATTATAATTAAAATAACATTTTAATATTCCTACCAACTCAATGATTTGCCTGAGTGCCAAGTCCAGGGTGACATCAACAGACGTGACACCAGGACACCGAGGCCTCACTTCCTTCCGGTAACCCTTAGCTAGTATTGCTGTTATGATGGTATCAGCAACGAACTCATCACACATCAAGTCTGAAAAAGAGAGATCCACATCAGACAAATATACTGAATAGAGATTCAGAAGACAGGTAACGGACTTTGGGCTTTAATGTTAATACAAGGTTTTATCGTCAAAGGAATACTTACGAGAAGAGTGATTACTTAGTATATTAGTTTCTGGGTTGCATCAATGTAATATATTGATATGGCGATCCTACAGCTCACCTTGTATTGCGATGAGGCAGAGCATTGACACCAATTCGATCTTCCACATCCGAAAATACATATCTGGTTATATAACTTCTCACAGCATCGGAATGTATCAGTGAACTATTTATGGAATATCGCCATTTCTGAAACAGTGTTCCATGGACCGGCACTTCTAACTGTCATAGCATTATGGTCTCTGACTGCACAAGATCGTCAGCGAACCATGACATGAAACACATGATCTACTCTAGGCTGTGTAACATCCACTTCTTGTCGATGACCATCTGCAAGAAATTGAAATCGAACATAATATAAATCTACCCATGTTTGCATGAGGGGTTTGGTGAATAATCAGCTACCAAACTTTATTATGATTTCTAGGGCTCGTCGAAAGCATGGCGACTAAGTTGTGTCCCATGGGGAATAGAATATGGACATCACTGTCCTCAGCAGGGTAGGTTTATAAATATACCTACATGATGCGCTGTAGCCGTGCTATTCTCCACACGTTGTCCTTGCAGCACTGCGCTATATTACAAGACTCGGTTAAAACAGACTGTCAAGAAAATATGCTATGAAGGAGTTCTTTGGAAGCATTCGTCGCTTAACAGTGTGACCATATTTATATATACCCCCATCAATACACGGTAATTGAAAAGAATAAAGTAAATATCAACTGAAATGCTGGATTTCCTCGTTGCGACAACTTAGAGAAATTTGGGGATTGGTATTTAGACACAATAGTCGAGTCCCCTCCACTGTCTTATTAACCATAACTTGGAATGGTTGGTTTGTTGGTTTGTTATATAACGCCTCACTCAGCAATAATACAGCTATACGGGGGCGGTCTGGACAAGACAATCTAGTGATCAACATCATGATCATCGTTCTACACAATTGGGATACGATGACATGTGTCAAGCAAGTCGCGTCAACCGAACCTGATCACCCGGTCCCGTTAGTGTCGCCTCTTACGACAACTATATGGGTTACTGAAGGTTAATTCTAGCCCTGCACTTCACGGGTCTAACTTGGAATGAAGCGCAGCAGTAGGACCGCATCAACTGTTTCATATTTAAATCTATGCAAAACGATTCAGAGTAACAAAACACTGTATGACTAGTGGGATGACTAGAGCAATATGTTTGGAGCGCCGGCCATTGGTATCTACGTTATATTGGTTACGTACAATACAACACACTCTTTCTTGGTAGATTTCAAACTCTTGCCGAGCATTTACTCATAAAAGGTTACAACATTCAAAGCCTTTTGAAACTTTCAAAATTTTATGGTGGACTTTTCGAGGACAGTTAAGGTGCCATTGACAAAAGTGATATGATGGATTGACTTACCATATCTGTCCGTGGTGTTTTTAAGGTGCACGCGTGACTTCTGTTTGCATGTGTTTTTGACCGTTGCCACCGGTTTATCAGGATAACTCTTAAAAGTGGCGTCAAAACGTATTTATAAACACTTGTTGGCATCAGATAGATTTGGTATGATTATGGAATAGATTTTGCGTATATATTTACGATCCTCAACCTGGGATACACTCCAGCACGGCTGTGCCATGGGGAAACAATGAGGTTGCATAACTTATTGATATATATCTACTTACCCAAACAAGCTGTTGAGGAATGCGATCTGTTGATCAATGAATTTGTTTCACTCAACAGTTGCATTAATTCAGAATAGACTGCTGGAGTAATATATACGGTATCTTATCAGACACCCCGACGTTTTCGTATCACTTCATACGCCGACTGTTTCTATACACCTCTCTCTTCCATATGCAATAGTGTTACTTCATGCTACTTAGTACATAAGCGTACTAAAATTAAAGGTATCATGAGAACAAAATGCAATGCCACTGGTTTACATGCAAATATCGACGTTGCTCGTACTGCTTTCAACAATTCTCGTTAAAATGAATACGTTACTGAGGCATTGTATGAAGTATTCAAGTTCTAACAGCATTTGAAAAAAATTAGTTTGTCGTTTTGTGCAATGTCCATAGAGAGAGCATGCTCGACTGTACCTCGACCGTTGTAATATGTAGACACCAAGAGCTGGAGTTGCGTAACCATTGCTCAACATCAAATGAATTGAAAACATTAATGTCATACAGTCTCGAGCAAGGTTTGTCATACTGAATCTATATGCCCAGATCTGACTGTATAAAGCAGTCACATTGGTCTCGTTTGCTTCAAGTTCAGGTCAGTAAATCATTGGGATGGAGTTGGAAATGAGACCATTAATGAATGATATCCGATCATCGTTAAACCTGAAATCTAATTTACATTTCTTGGCAACATTACTGGTGTTGAAAAACGACCATAGGTGCAAATATTCCGATTCATAAGCATACAGATATCAGCAATAGGGATAGCACAATTGTTTTTTCACTTCGATGCCTTCTTCGTTCCATGCACGTCTGATGCATTTTCCAATTTGTAACACATGGCCCCGTGTTTGTACAGGTGAACGCCTGAATTTCCTTTGCATATGTTTGTTGCGGGTGTGAACGGCGTGGCAGAACATGTTCGCCTGATTGTGCAAACATCTGGTACATCACTATTTGATATTGTCTCGGAAACGAATGATCGCGTATATTAAGTGTATGTGCATTTGAATGTCACTTCATATACGTTCTTCGTTGCATGACAGGTCATAGGCCTACATACAATGGAGTTACATAGCATTAGCATATATTAGCCACTTTAGGGTATCAATTCAATTCTTCATGATGAATGAACAGAGCTACTCGGTGTTGTTTAGAGAGTTCTTTGTGGGACAGTTATGAATAGAATATTTTAACACTGACATCAGAAACGTCGTGTTCATTGAAATAGAAAAGTTGTCCATCCATAAACATCGTTCCTGTTCATCATACCAGCTTCTAAATGCCACTCAAAGATGGTAAATACTTGTTTCTTAGGTTGTCATAGATAGGGCAAATAAACATGAAATAAAATTCATCTTCGATGACGTTACAAAATAGACAGATACTTTGTTTTTTACCAAGAGATAGATATCGTCCTGGGTTATTTCCAGACCATTAAGTCCTAGTCTAAAACGTGGAAAGACATTACCGACATTCCTGTAGGGTAGGTTAGCAACTAAATATGACCCTGGATTTTAGCAACGACTTAAACTAACTTTCATAAATAGATGAATGCCATTCCTGGGTAAACATATCGATGGGACGCATAAGAAACTGTCTGATAAGACATATACACTACTTACTATCTGCGGCAGCCAAATATAGCCAAAGCCATAAACAGTAGTCAGTAGTATAAGTCAGTTGTATGCGGATACATGATGCCCAAGTGTTCTTACCAAGATTATCAATATGTACATGCTGGAGGCTTTCTTAAGCAAACACTGGTCAGGCATACTAATACTTTTACACCAATATTTCACACAACGAGAGTAAGAAACAATGTACAGTGGGAATCTCCCGCATTCACCATAAACCATAGCACTTGGTGTTGACGTACAAACATCAAAATATAACTTTTCACAAGCAGATGAACGTTTTCTATTGTATAATACTCTTTTTAACCTCATATCTCAGATCGACAAAGTAAAATAGGTTGTATTGGACAATCAAATAATTTAAAATACGTATTTGGTAGAATAACACCAACTTTAGGAATAACAGATTGAAGCTGAAAAAGAGCTTTCTTTGCTCTGAACAAGTTAATAAGCGGCTTATTCAGATTCAGGGAAAACAATATGCCAGGGTATTTACATTCATTTACAACATTGATTTACCTTTGAAAAAACATTTCTCTGCAGCGGCCACAGGTCAACCCCTGCGAAATTTAGCAATCACATTTGATTGCCAGTCATCTGAACACGCGAAGAGTATATCAAGTTGGTTTTGAAGTACTCGTCATCAGGATCACATCATCAGCAAAAAGTAACATTTTAAGTTCTATCAGATTAGGAAGATATCATGTTTTCCATATTTCCAAATCAAAACATAACTCGTTTATGAAAGAATGAGAAAAGTAATGGACTTAAAACACAACCTTGACGTAAACCAACAGGGCAATAAAAAAAGCACAGGTAAACGCCCACAAATTACCTACGAGAGACAGCATCGAACATTTCACATTCCGTGATATGTGATTCCAACAAAAACTATCAACATCATTAGGCTCTTTACTTGCATAATCATCGTCCCAATCTAAAATATCACTGACAACCCTCCTTTGAAAATGGATTCTAAGTCTTTGTAGACATACGTATAGTTCAAAGATAGTTCCTACAGTATTTACAGTAAGCTTAGCATGAATAACGCCAGGGGGAAATGCTCAGAATCGTATCCGTCACCAACATTAAACATTTATACAAACTCAAACAGACCAACAGATGCAAAGAAATAATCAACAGCATTAGAATCATATCTCCTACATGTGTAAACTCACCACCTTTATCGCCTTCAACTGTACCATTCCATATAAACAGACAACCATAGCTAAAAGCCAGTAAAGCGCGTCCAAATCTATTTATAGTACTGTCATGCGACACACGCTTTTCAAAAGGTGCGGTGTTTTCATCAATGTATACAATGTCATCATGATTACCACAAACAACACTCTGCTCACAGATTGTATTGTTTTCATTACCCGTTCAAGCATTAAAATTCCCACAAAGTATCATGTGAGAAGAAGTAAAATCAGATCAATGTTGCAATGTGAAAATCTCAAGGCTTTTAGTTAGGAAGCATGAATCAATATTCCCGTTGTAGAATGTAGAGCCTATTCTCGGAACATATAAACTCAACAGCAAGATGTCATTCCTTAAATTAAGCACTGCTTTAGGAAATTTTAGACATATCAATGTGTCAGTTTGTGTGCTTGAACGCACTGATTCACAATAACTTGTCTCACGCAGACCATCAGATTATCTACCCGATGACGAAAGAGTCACTGCTGGGGAAAGTGAAATTTGGTATCCAGGTAGCCAATATACGTTGGCAAAAGTAGTTATAATTGTCTCCATTAAAATACAATGTCAAATGACTTGAGATAAGCAAAAAGTCAAAGTCATAGAGCTTTTTACATAAGCCGTTTATGTTAGATGATTATATAGACAGTCTATTGTTACCGGTGTGTGAGTCATTCTCGTCCTGTGTGAAACGATTTTATGCCTGTCCGCATTGGCATTTACGATTGTAACCACAACGCGGTCTACTAGTCCTCGTTTGTCCAGATGTCACAGTGGTGTCCATTACATGGTTTGGTCAAAAACTTACCATTCTTAAAGTAGCATATCAGTCTTGTGTTCTTCTAATTCTTAAGTTGTTCACGTTGTCTGGTTAAATCACTGGATACGCTATAGACATTATTGTTCAGTTCTGCTAGTGATTTCAGAACGCCGATCTTTTCCTCAGGTAGCCGCAGGTTAGCGATGAGCGGTCGAAGTTTGGAAACACCAACACACTGGGAGCTGAGTCGATGTGCACAATGACGTCATCATCGGGTGACGCACATTTTCCAAATCACGGTGGTGTCTATAACTTCGTCCCGGGCCAGAGGCACCCAAGCCGGCATAAGATTACCAAATAATAGGCACGCACCTAATGTACGTCAGGCACGGGGTGGCCAAGCTGTCCATTCAGGCTCAGAATGCTTGACATAAACATACTCTTTTGGCAGATATGAATAAATATCAATAATTTTACATATGTCAGCAAGTCTGATATGCAGTGAAAATGTCCTTGCACACAAAATAAACCTGAAGGGAATATAATTATACAATCATATCTGTGAAGGCTTAAAAATCGGCGGGATTCGAGAGTAAAAAGTATGATTTCTTCAAACTCACCAGTGAGGAAATGTTTCTGTAGAAAACAAAATATAAACAATTTTAGACAAAAATGAAAGTATTAGATCATTATACACAAATACATACCTAGTCGTATATATCATCCATCAACACGTCTGATAGTGCCCACCTACTGCATGTAATAAAATCTTGCTACTCATGATCACGACACCAGGTCCTATGAATTAGATAATATCAGTCATTTGATCATGTGCTGTTTTCGGTAACTTAACTGATTTGCCTACTGTCAAATGTTTATTGAACAATGTGTAATAATGGGAATAGATAAACCGGCAGACAAATATACTGCCTCTCCTCAAATTGCTTATTCATTATAGACAAAACTGTTATTTTGAATGCTCAGGACACTGCTACACTGACATGTACGACTGATACCGGGTTATAATGCGATCATGTTGCGTATCATTACATTTGATTGATGGTTTGGCTTCCCGCAACATGTGTCGAAGAGGTATCCCCTCAGCAGGTGACAGTGGAGTTATACAGATCTGTGTACATTATTTAGAGGTTGATATTAAGCACAGAGCACACTGGTATATTATTGGAAGATGGACAGGTTTGAAAAGAACGGTTACAAATGGTTGTGGTGAATTAAATATGACGGAGCTTACAGATTTAATAGGTTACTGGGTTTGATCAATATTGTATGAAACGTACGCCCACTGTCATTAATTACTTTCAAGGGGTTTAACAATGGAAATGTGTTAACGGCAAGGATTGACAGCAGGAGCAAATATCAAGAACAATCAATTGGATGACACAATTTTGACAGTACGTCCATTTTCTTCATTAACGTGGTTGATTTGGTTTTATGGCTGAATTGATTTAATATTAAATGCGTATACCCGGTGGGGATTTCCCTTATGCCTGGCAGTCATTCCTGACCACCTGGAGCCTAGGCTGCCCATGAATGTGTAATTTACTAGTGTACATATTTGAGTAATTAATTGTAAAATGAATGTATTTCTATAATAGCCCCCGTGTAAGGGCGGTACGAATATGAATACATGGCATTGGCGCTGTCAGTATAAATATATAACGGTTTTCTCTGAAACAAATTGTATTTGCTTGAACAGGTAATGTCTGCTGAACAGGTAATTTGTTCTTTTCTTCTGATAAAAGAAGTTTATGACAAAAGTTTATCGCCCACGTTTATGCCTATGCAATTATGGAACATTTAATTTAAGAACATGACTTTGCATTTTGTTTATTCCTGACATAGCGGCATTGACAATAGCGGGGTAACAAAATTTCTTGTTCCATTAAAAGCATACATTTACACTACAACAAATGTGAACAGGTCATGGTTGGCATATTCATCTCAAATTTGTATATACCCACACACGGATAATATATTATATAGTTTTGCATGTTATAGACTAAAAATATATTTGTATACTTGTGCCCAAAGGATATATGGAGATTCCCAATTTTGTTTTTTTTCCTCAAGTGGAAAGAGTTTATTTGTGAAATATATCCCCAGATGTAAATAGCGTGATGTAATAATTAAAATGGCACACAAGAACAGCAACTGTTCCTTTCTGCATAATTGAAACAACTGATGTAGTTGTACAGTCTTCCTACAGTTAACTCATCAGAAATCATCATAAACTTTGTCGTGGAAATAGTAAAAAGAAATAGGTTAAGGTCAATCAGTGTTTCATTCATCATCTCAAATTTGTATATACCCTCATAGGGATAATAAATTCTATAAATGTTCATCTGAAAGATTAAAAATATATTTGTAGCCTTGTGCCCAAAGGACATATGTTCTTTTGAGAATTCCTAATTTTCCTAATTTTTCTTCCTCAAGCGGAAAGAATTTATTTGTGAAATATATTCTCAGATGTAAATAGCGTGATGTAATAATAGAAATGGCACCCTTGTACAACAACTATTTCTTTCTGGATAATTAAAACAACTGCTGTAGTTTTACTACGGTTGAATCATCACAAATAATCATAAACCTTGTTGTGGATATAATAATATAAGAAAGTAACTCAACGTCAATCAGTTTTTCAGACCAGTTAACGATCAACAATCCTTTAAAGTGGTGTACTCTCAACAAGTAGAGTATGCATGGTGTAAATATCGCAAATTGTTGAAGCGCTGCCTTGTCTTAAATATTTACATATATATTCGGGTGCCAATGAATATTTGTTTTCGTCCAGTACGCAACTGCTAGGGTTTTAACATAGATCAAGTGGACAACGATCACTGCTCTCATGAACAAGGACATTCATTTGTTTACTATAAGCTCAAACATGTAAATGTGTATTTTGTGATGCTATTTATGTTTTCCCCTCTTTTAGCAAGGATTGAACGTTAGCGAGATCCTCGACATCGTAAACATAGACTGCACTACCGGATAATAGGCCTATATTGTAATGGTTCGTTTCAGTAGTCCGTACGTTTCACTATCCGAACGTTTTTGACGAAAAACGAAAGTGTTGGGATTAACGCAGCTTGACTGTATATTACGATACAGAGTGACTTATAAGTGAGTTAAACTTCATGGATTGTAATTTACCTTTACCAAATACCCATAAGAGGGGAGATTTAGATGTTTCTGCAACATCTGGTGTCCGCATACAGTATTTCAGTTATTCGGTTGAATTCTCCTTTGGGTCAATATTGAAACATAAACCAATTCTTGTCGGATCGTTTGTAAAGAACGTTGTTGGCTACGTATCACTGTACGCCGCCATTGTCATATGTTGATTGTAATAACAGTCACTAGTTAGTCTTGCACGGACTCGATTAACAAGCTCCGGTCTTGTAGCCTGAAGTTCATCGAGAGCGGGGTATCAAATAAAGAAAGAAAGAAAGAAACAAAAATCCCAACAAACAAACAATAAAAAACAAAACAAAAAGAAAGAAAGAAAGAAGCAAACAAACGTAGAGTATATGAAGCATTTCTAGCATCCTGCCTTGTGTGAGATCCTCTATGTAACTGCAATACATGTGCCTTTGTGTTTTCATATGTGTTACGCGTTCGTTGATGATTTGAAGTATTAGAAATTTCACTTTGCAAATTAATGTGTACTACATGCAACTGCATCGTTGCTGTATCTTACAATCATAAGAACAAAAGGCCCGAAACAGAATAATAGCAATAAGAATACTGATAACTCGATTAGGATCACCCAACTTTTTTGCTTAAATCAATACAAATTGTCTGTAAGTGAATGGAAATGAAATATGCTGTTCCTATCAGGTGTTTTTGATGGGACAAGGATGTTGGCCAATACCGGGCGGACGTTATGCCCACTGAACACAGTGAAATGAGCAGTTATGCTATTAAGAGGCACACACGTCAAGCTTAATAGTTAATGCAATGGGAATTGGACACCACCGGAGATTATACACCTCTCTAGTAAAAGCTAAGTACATGATTTCCCTCTCTGGCAATATCATAGTACCTGATGACCGTGAGTATTTGTGAAATATATTCCCAGATGTAAATAGCGTGATGTAATAATTAAAATGGCACACAAGAACAGCAACTGTTCCTTTCTGCATAATTGAAACAACTGATGTAGTTTTACAGTTTTCCTACAGTTAACTCATCACATATCATCATAAACTTTGTCGTGGAAATAGTAAAAAGAAATAGGTTAAGGTCAAACAGTGTTTCATTCATCATCTCAAAATTGTATATTAATAATAATGATAGTGCATATTTATAACGCGCACATATTCACGCTCAGAAGCATGCTCATAGGGATAATATATTCTATATATGTTTATCTTAAAGATTAAAAATATATTTGTAGCCTTGTGCCCAAAGGATATATGTTCTTTTGAGAATTCCTAATTTTCCTAATCTTCCTCAAGCGGAAAGTATTTATTTGTGAAATATATTCTCAGATGTAAATAGCGTGATGTAATAATAGAAATGGCACCCTTGTACAACAACTATTTCTTTCTGGATAATTAAAACAACTGCTGTAGTTTTACTACGGTTGAATCATCACAAATAATCATTAACCTTGTTGTGGATATAATAATATAAGAAAGTAACTCAACGTCAATCAGTTTTTCAGACCAGTTAACGATCAACAATCCTTTAAAGTGGTGTACTCTCAACAAGTAGAGTATGCATGGTGCAAATATCGCAAATTGTTGAAGCGCTGCCTTGTCTTAAATCTTGACATATATATCCGGGTGCCAATGAATATTTGTTTTCATCCAGTACGCAACTGCTAGGGTTTTAACATAGATCAAGTGGACAACGATCACTGCTCTCATGAACAAGGACATTCATTTGTTTACTTTAAGCTCAAACATGTAAATGTGTATTTTGTGATGCTATTTATGTTTTCCCCTCTTTTAGCAAGGATTGAACGTTAGCGAGATCCTATAGGAAAAAACGCCTATATTGTAATGGTTCGTTTCAGTAGTCCGTACATTTCACTATCCGAACGTTTTTGATGAAAAACGAAAGTGTTGGGATTATCGCAGCTTGACTGTATATTACGATACAGAGTGACTTATAAGTGAGTTAAACCTCATGGATTGTAATTTACCTTTACCAAATACCCATAAGAGGGGAGATTTAGATGTGTCTGCAACATCTGGTGTCCGCATACAGTATTTCAGTTATTCGGTTGAATTCTCCTTTGGGTCAATATTGAAACATAAACCAATTCTTGTCGGATCGTTTGTAAAGAACGCTTACCTGTTGGCTACGTATCGCTGTACGCCGCCATTGTCATATGTTGATTGTAATAACAGTCACTAGTTAGTCTTGCACGGACTCGATTAACAAGCTCCGGTCTTGTAGCCTGAAGTTCATCGAGAGCGGGGTATCAAATAAAGAAAGAAAGAAACAAACAAACATAGAGTATATGAATCATTTTTAGCATCCTGCCTTTTGTGAGATCCTCTATGTAACTGCAATACATGTGCCTTTGTGTTTTCATATGTGTTACGCGTTCGTTGATGATTTGAAGTATTTCAAATTTCACTTTGCAAATTAATGTGTACTACATGCAACTGCATCGTTGCTGTATCTTACAATCATAAGAACAAAAGGCCCGAAACAGAATAATAGCAATAAGAATAATGAAAACTCGATTAGGATCACCCAACTTTTTGCCTAAATCAATACAAATTGTCTGTAATTGAATGGAAATGAAATATGCTGTTCCTATCAGGTGTTTTTGATGGGAGAAGGATGTTGGTCAATACCGGGCGGACGTTATGCCCACTGAACACAGTGAAATGAGCAGTTATGCTATCAAGAGGCACACACGTCAAGCTTAATAGTTAATGCAATGGGAATTGGACACCACCGGAGATTATACACCTCTCCAGTAAAAGCTAAGTACATGATTTCCCGCTGTGGCAATATCATAGTACCTGATGACCGTGTGTCGTAGATAAATAGTTAAATTATTTACGAAGACGATAGTGCCTAAACAATACACCAACTAAAGGCTAAAGGCTAGGCTATACTTTTAGCATGAACCTTAAAGTAAAGTGTTCTGAAGAATGAAAACAAAGGACTTCGGGTATTGTGAAAGGAAGCTAATTCACCGTTCAGATAAAAGTAGTTTTCTTTGACGTTTGAACGCTACAAACAGACATTTTAGCTCTTGATGAGCAAAATGTGTCATTAATGTCATTATGCTAATATTTACATAGCGCGGATATCCAGCTTAGTTGCTCAAAGGCGCTTTGTTTTCCTTCGATCGCAAGATTGTCAATCTCCAAACGGCATCGTATTATCAATCTGGACTCCCTGAGCAGCATACAAAGTCTTGCAGCCACTAGGCGCACCGAAAGTCAATATGGCTCTCCATCGCTTACGAGGTACTTATTCGCTGGGTGAAGTTCCTGCACGTTGCTGTACCCGCAACTAGGTGTTTGCACGTATTTCATGGCGGCACCATCTGGTCATTTTACCAACGGATTCGTGGGTTTCTTTTGTTTAAGGGTTGGGTTCTGTACACTAGGGTTGTGACAACACTGACAGAATCTGCACACTAAAAATCTCAAAAGAGATTGACAAGTCTTTCCTGTCGCCTATAATGTTTAATGTTTAATCTGATATATTCATAATAACTGAAAGAGAATTGTCGAATATGTACAAATACCACTTTACATGATTTCCCGCTGTGGCAATATCATAGTACCTGATGACCGTGTGTCGTAGATAAATAGTTAAATTATTTACGAAGACGATAGTGCCTAAACAATACACCAACTAAAGGCTAAAGGCTAGGCTATACTTTTAGCATGAACCTTAAAGTAAAGTGTTCTGAAGAATGAAAACAAAGGACTTCGGGTATTGTGAAAGGAAGCTAATTCACCGTTCAGATAAAAGTAGTTTTCTTTGACGTTTGAACGCTACAAACAGACATTTTAGCTCTTGATGGAACATTTGGATGTATAACCAAATGTCAGATTTAACACAACTAAAACAAACACAATTGCAGGAGGAAATGCACGAAATGGCAAGAGTTTAATATGTTTTCCAATATGCACTGACTTTGTGTGTTTATGTCATGTGTAGCTACACCTTCGAAGCATATAATCACTTGGCGTTGCCGTATGCTCATTCACTATTGTTATTAATGTTGAGACCGGTTTTGCAGACATATCTCAGCTTGAACTGAAAATGTTACACTAAAGTGGACACTTTATCTCAGGGTATTTCCAATACGATTGGGTGATGAAAGTTCCGACACCAGTGAATTTTACTAGGATTAGAAATACTGACATCTCTTTAGGAGGCGAAACATTTGTAATTTGAAAACTGTCAAATGTTATCGAGCTTTAGAAGGTGTTTATCATCATTTCGAGTAACAAGGCTATAAGGATTTATATTCTAATATTACCAAAACAAAATGTGCATTTATTTCCAGCATTTGAAATGTTGGATTCGCGTAATATATTTTCAAATATGCTGTTACCTTTGCCACCCAAATCTCATGTAACTTCATTAACCTTATCACGCTTTAGGGTCCAGGTAAGCATAATGCCATTATGCCAGCTGACACCGATGCTGATACCGTAACCTATTACTTCATTAACCTTATACCATTATTGATCTGTTTAAGCCAAACACTGTCATGGAAGCAGGCACGTTACCAATATGTCATCAGGTCAGTTACAACACTTCACTGTGTTGCCAGTCCTTCAGATAAGTGAGCTGGAGGTTGAATATCAGGGTGCCGTGTACAAAGCAACCTTAGCGCCATCGAGTGATCAGTCTATGTTAAGGTATGGGAATTACGGTCACCTTAGCGCTAAGATCGCTTTGTACAACGGCGCGAGAGCTCAAGCGCACTCTGAGCTATTGAGCATTTACTTACATGTAAAGATTAACGTTGGGTACTGATAGATTGTTATAACTTCCAGTGTATTATTATTCTCCTCACGTTTATCCGGTTTTGTCAACCTAAAACTGGACTTTTAAAAAATAACATGTATGTCTTTGATATTAAGGTTTCAACTTCTGTATAGGATATGTTTCGTATGAAGCTTAACTTCACGAAATTGATACATATCTTAGCTAAAATAAGCGCGATGTTGAACATCTGTGCATTATCCACTGCAGAAAGGTATCTTGGTTCCACGATGTCTGAATTCCTGCAGTTAGATCTGTTAAAAGCATCTGAGCAAAATGTCATTAATGTCATTATGCTAATATTTGCATAGCGCGGATATCCAGCTTAGTTGCTCAAAGGCGCTTTGTTTTTCCTTCGATCACTGGGTGTCAATCTCAAACGGCACATCGTATTATCAATCTGGACTCCCTGAGCAGCATACAAGTCTTGCAGCCACTAGGCGCACCGAGTCAATGTGGCTCTCCCATCCTTACGAGGTACCCATTCACGGCTGGGTGAAGTTTACTGCACGTTGCTGTACCCGCAACTAGGTGTTTGCACGTATTCATGTGGCCACCATCTGGTCATTTACCAACGGATTCGTGGGTTCTTTTAAGAGCACAGGGTTGGGTTCTGTACACTAGGGGTTGTGACAACACTGACAGAATCTGCACACTAAAAATCTCAAAGAATTGACAAGTCTTTCCTGTCACTTATAATGTTTTAATGTTTAATCTGATATATTCGCAATAACTGAAAGAAATTGTCGAATATGTACAAATGCCCACTTCGGACATATTATGGCACCACATAGAGGTAAGGAGTAACGGAATGAGGAGTGAAGGAGTTTAGATGGTTTTCAATAATTGGTATCTAATATTTGAACATGAGGGACATGGTGGACACTTCTTGAGTAAAAATACAGGAAACATATACTGGGGCTGGGAATTGGGTAAGGGATTTGACCAGTAGTCAAGGGGGGTCACGGTAGCTAGTGAAACACATCATTCCCTCTATTCACTGTGTAATCTCAATCTTAAGTATCAGGACAGACAAGTTAAGATACACCGATTTATGTATGTATGTTTGTATGTATGTATATATGTATGTATGTATGTATGTATGTATGTATGTATGTATGTATGTATGTATGTATGTATGTGTGTGCGTGTGTGTGTGTGTGTGTTTGCGTGTTTGCGTGCGTGCGTGCGAGCCGAACAATCCATGCTTTATTCCCTTAATGTCCAGTGCACGTAGGAAAACAACAAGCTCAAAAAGATGCAAAGAGTATTAGATAAGTAAGTATAACACAGGTAGAGACAGTAAGGTATCTGACTTGTGATAAACAGTTTTGTGAAACACGACACCGCTTTGTGTGTAATGCTGTAATCGCACAAACGTGCTTCAATCATGTCTTGTATTTATCAATATCAATGCTTATCAGTGTTTCTTTATTTTATATTGTGTACAAATTAGAATTAAGAGCAGAACATTTTTATAAATCACTGTGTACCATTCATGTGATGTGTGATCATGCATTTGACTGTATTATGGGCCAGTGGCCTTTTACTGAATAAAACTGTCTGTCTGTCTGTATTTATCAATAACATTTGATTATCAACAATACAATGACACAAATACTAGTCTGCGGCGACCAGTCCTATTCCAGCACACATGTAACACTCACTGTAGAGAGGTGTATACATACTTCATTGATACATAGTGTTTGAATACATCGATGTCTGAGCAATGAGTAAATACGACTACTTTTCTTAATCACTCAGCATCATGACCAAAAAGTCAGCAATGTTCACTATTAGCTGGTTAAAGGTTCACCATCACCTTTGTTTAGCTCCGAGTTCACTTAATTACACTCTTACGTAAATTATGAATCTGACAACTCCAAAGAACAGATTTTTCGTGCACCTGTATAACAATTGTAGTGTCGTTATATGACTCTATAGTATTGATAACATATCTAAATTGACATACGAAATACTGAAATTAAATGAACAAATGTAATAGTTCTTGACATAAAAATATTGCAGGACCAGTTTCCATCCTTACCTTTCTATCTGTAAGCGCATCTTCATGACTGTTTTTACTCCTTCCAATGACATCACACAACTCTATAACATTCAGGTACACAGAGCCGAGGGCAACACGTCGGCCGTGGTGTGTATCGAGCATTGATTGGGCCTGATGTAGCAGTTGAATACTGCTCTGGAACTGGGTGTGGGACGGCTGGGCTTGTCCTCGATAACTCTGTGACGACGACATGTGTAAACGTCTCCTTGACGTTCACAACATCAATTAACGGTCTATGGCTGATAAGGTCTCGAGGGGTTGGAGTTGCTTCACGTTTAGACATTTCAATGACGATGTTGGGAGCGTGATTCATGACTAATGATGTTGTACGATAGTTATTTGTTTCTAGTCTGATGAGTTTCGTTTAACTGCAACGATATTTCACATTATTGTCTTTGTATTATTACATAAAAATATGTTTTGTCAACTGAAATACTCTCTAGATCAGGTATTCCACGTGTAATATTCTACAACAGATTTATAAATAACACGTGTTATGTGTAATATTGTGTGTGGTTATGGTTGTTGACACCTTTGCCAATTTTATCGATAAAATTTTAGGAAGTGGTATTTGTTGTTTAACGCCACACTCAACAATGTTCCAGCACGTGGATGGAGACTTGGAACGCACGAACCTGACTCAGACAATCTAATGACTGATGCCATGCTCTCACGATGACACTTTATGGACCAATTAACTGAGACTGACCACCGGATTCATTCAGTAGCATCATACCACATGCCTCACTTAGTGTGCCCTGTATAGTCGGACCTTGTTAACCCGGAAATCTGAACATTTGTATAGGATTAAAACCATACGTTTGCATATCCGTTTTAGTCAGTCCAAAATTAGAAAATATGGATCATTTCATAAAAGAGTTTTCACTACAAGAAATCGTAAATGACATACAACCAAAAAATATACGCCCACTAACGGAAAAGGGGAAGGGGATTATTGCTTTGAAGGATGTTAATGAACTCGCATTTAGAATACGGAGTCAACGACGCTACAACCGTTGCGTAATAGATTTTTAGACATGACATTTGGCTTCAATGTATTCTTAATATATATGGAGTTATATTGTTAACGTAAACACCGGTTTTACACGGTGAAGACCGAGTTGTACGTTTATACCTCCATGAATGTCAATATAAAGTGAACTCTTCATTGAATACACTCTTCATTATTTGTCTTACTTGCAACACCATGTCAACATCCCTTGAACATAAGAACCAATATTTCATAGTTCAGTAGAGTGAATGAGTGAGTGAGTGAGTAAGTGAGTGAGTTTACTTTTACGACGGTTTAGCAATATATTCCAGTAATATCACGGCGGGGAACACCAGCAATTGGTTTCACACATTATACCCATGTAGGGAATCGAACCCGGGTCCTCGGCGTGACGAGCGAAAGCTTTAACCACAAGGCTACCCCACCGCCCTAGTCCAGCAGAGGAGCTACTGGTTGTAAAACCAGTTCCTGATTTTATCCCGGGTGGTGTTATATATCATCTGCTTCTAAAGATCCGGCTATATGCCATTGGCAGTGAGTTCATTCTCAAGTGGGTAGCAGCAGGTTAACTCACGTGTCAAAATCACGTTTGTAATTTACAACTCAATACTTCTGTTCCGGTACAGTATAGATTACATGCTGCAAGGTGTCTGTCGTGTTATCAGCTGTCACGTTTTAAGTTGACAACATGCTTATCTCTACCAAGGACCATTAGCAGGGATACAGTTTGTATTTTCCTAACAGGAACGTGGGCAATTTATCAATTAATCTTCCGTGACATCTGTGTGTTATGGATGTTTGAAACAGGTTTTGTGTGTGTGTGTTCCTGTGTGTGTGTGTTCCTCGCTGTGTGTATGTGTGTCATTTAACGTTACCTGAAGTTAAAGTTTGACATGTCGAAATGTCTCTTGTATAAAAGCATATTCACCCATTAATCATTCCTCTATTTGGTGAAATCCCAACTCCAACATTCTAATGACGCCCAACGCATATCATCATCATTATCACCATCGTCGTCATTTTGTTTATAATATTGTGATTTTTGTATTATGTGCATAGACTTTGTCTCTAGAATTTCTTAACGTTTGCTCTAAATTCGTTTTCTTAAAAAACGTCCTCTAGGTTCTATTCTACCCTTGTGTCTGGTTATTTGTATTACATCTCGGAAAATACATTGCACATCTTAACAGCAATGAAAATGCGAAGTATTAGCGTCTTCTTGATCATGTGAACTGAAACGTATATAAGATACCCTGTTGTCTCTGTTTAGGTTGACTCCATGCAGATTGAGGTTAGAACTGGATTTCAGCAAGCCATATAAATGCTTAAGCTGTAGCCAGAAGCAACTAACGGGTTCAGCTGGTTAGGCCCGCTAACATCCTAGACGAATGTCAACATATCGGATCGATACTTATAATGTCAATCACTGGATTGTCTGGTCCCGACTTGATTACTAGCAGCTCGACCTTACAGATGTAATATTGTGGCATCAAGCAATACACCAAACACACAAACACCCGCAACTGCAGGTGCTGTAGTGGGCACAAAGTTAGATGATAATCGGTATCGATGACCATGAAGTCCATATGAATATTATTATTGATTTTCACTTATGGTGACAATTACGTTTCCATTGTTATATAAATCCGTTATCCTTTAGCATTTTAGCAAGAGAATACCCAGATGGTTCAACATGCACTTAAAAGTACAGGGCAACCTAATTATATTTTAACAAAAAAAACGTCCTTCCGTCATCCAATTGGTTCAATCGAATCGATTATATTTAAATGTTATTGTGAAAACATTAACGTTTCCGTATTCATGATCATACACCAGTATCGCCCCTGTCTTCAGAACAGTCATGGGATATGAATATGCAATAATTTGTAGTCGACATGGAAATGTCCACAAGGAATACGTCAATAATTAATGTGCGTTAAACCAATACTGGCCCCACAAATTGTGGCAATGTGTGTGCTTAACTTGCCGTACTTATGCAAATGTTACATCAGGGATGGTGAGTATTAAATACACCATGGTTACGTAAGGTTCCCTCGCTTGAGACAAACAATTCGTGCTGGTCCACGGTCCAAAAAAGTCAAGTATGTTGCCACCAGTTTCATGAATAAATGACATTTCGAGTTTTTGTGACAGAGATTTATGTGAGTTGTTAATGATTATTGACATAACTGATTCAAACCATAATTGGCTTTGCACCTAGTTGTCCAATTATTATATAAACATCTGGTCTGTTTACATCTAATTACATCAGTAAACATTTACAATAAAGCCATACGTCAGTACATTGTCACAAGTGCAAAAGATTCGTTAGTTTGTTTATTATTTGTGACATAATAATGTTAAACAATGCTCGTAAACAAGGGCAAATAGCGGTGAAAACGTACAAGCTGTAAGTTCTGTTTTCCTTCTACTTTAATCAGTCCCTGTGACGTAGGGCTGTGTATTGCCCCAAATTTCGTATTGCGATATATTGCGATACACTCTTTTGTATTGCGATACGCATTGCAAGATATTGTGGAAGAACAGTTATAGAAATCTGTCGACATTGTAATATTCTTTTACCTTCATATTGAATCACAGTATATATGCAAATAACCATTGCGCATTGTATAGCTTCTTTCAAAGCAAGAAAAAGGAAAAACCAGAACATTCTTCTGTTTATATTTTTATTTTAAGACAGCAGGGATCGACACTCACTAAACATTTTAACTAGACCTCCGGGCTAGTGGATTTTGTATGTCATTAGTCCTTTCCAAATATTACTAGCCCGACACTTTGCTATAAAAACCTTTCAACAAGTCTTTCTTTTAATGGTAACTACTGTCCAAGGGAAAGTTAACACAGATAAATGTATGATTTCTCATTTCATATATATGACAAAATCAACTGAAACTAGCTTACACCATGTCCTCCATCAACCCACCCATACTAAACTAACGAGCAAATGAAACGATATTAAGTCAAAATCACTGATAATACTAAACGACAAACCACCATTGTGTAAAAGGAAAGAGAATTTTGACAACAGGTGTATGGGCAACATGCACGTGCATACACATGCCCATACACCTGTTGTCAAAATTCTCTTTCCTTTTACACTAATGGTGGTTTGTCGTTTTGTAATATCAGTGATTACGACTTGGTATCGTGTCTTTTGGCCGTTAGTTTATTTATATACTTTAACTTCTTTAAACAACAAAGGATGTTGAATTTCAAATAATTTAAAGAGTTAAAGAATTTACTGTACACATCTGTATTACTCAAGAAAAAAATAATTGAAGTCACAATCATGTGACATGATCTTGAAGTGAACATTCTAATCAAAACAATGATTTATGCACCTATGTCTTTGAATAAAAGTATTAATAACATTACCTAATTCATGAATGACGTTTGGTACACTTTCTCATAAAGAAATGATTTAGTAAAGCACTCAAGATGGGCAAAGGTCTCTCTGTATTAGTTAAAGTAAACTTTCTTTAGACTGAATAGAATAATGAAACAAATGAATCTTGAGAAACAGCCTTAGTTTTAATAAGATAGAAGCCTACGTTTGTCAAGGGAAATATCAGCTCGTGAAATATTATTGCTACTACAATAATTAAGGTCTAATCCAACTGTTGATAAATCCCAAAGGTATTTTTAACATATTATTCAAATAATACAACTTCAACTTAAAAAAGTTTATTTCCAATAAAAATACAAGTTTACACACTTATAATGTCCAGATATACCACGAAGGAGACGAAAACTCCCGCTATTTTAATCCATTTGTAAGATGTCATAATATCCTCTTACCTATTATATGTATATTTTCATTTTTACGTAATCAGAAAATTATTTTAAAAAGATTAATCCAATAATATGCATCGTCGCCTCTTTCGCGATAGCCGTGGCTTTTCGCCCGGTAACACGAGACAACATTGGGAAATGCCTCTGATTTCGAAGCTCCGTATGAACAGGGAGACTATGTAAATGTTGTAGATTATCCCTGGTATGACTAACACTTGAGAAGATTAATGTGATGGCGGGTATCGTTCGAAAGCGACCTGTGACAAATATTCTTTATGCAATTTGTTTCACATTAAACATCGTGACGAGGACATTTGATATTGAAATGAAATATGAGTATATTATAAAAAACCTGCCGACGAAGGACAGTAAAACAACTAGAATATCACAGATATGTATGTAAAACTAGTAATTAAATCTAAAACGTTTTACCTATAG